AAAAATATACATATACATACATATGTATCTGAATCACTTTGCTGTATACCAGAAACTAACACAACATTGTAAAACAACTATACTGCAAAAAAAAAAATGCAGTTCTCAGGCCTCATCTCAGATGTGCTGAATCAGAAACTCTGGAGAGGGATCTTGTGTTTTCACAAGTCCTCTAAGGAATATCCTCGAACCGTAAGTCTACTTGACTTACATTACTAGTGAAACATTTCATTTTAAGGACTAGGTCAAAAGAAAATTATTTGAAATTGTTTTGTTGAAAACATATTGAATCTGTGAATTCTCATAGAATGAAAAGATTGCTAAGAGCCCTTGGAGGTCATTAGGGCAAATAGTTTCCACAAGTGTCAGTCACAGAAAATCTAAGGTTCTATGAAGCATCTCTAGGGGTTTTCTAAAAGAAAATGTATTCATATGTTTGACTGGTGACTGCTCCCCTGACCATCTAAGGTTTGTCACCAAAAGACACGGAATTCTGTGTCAGGAGAAATGGTTTTGGAGTTTTAGGACACAGTCAACATCTTATTCATCTCTGTATCTCCATTACCCTTCCAGAGTACTTGGCATAGAGCAGACACATAATAAACATTTATGTTAATGAATGAATGGATGGAATAGTCATCCTATGGATCCTGGTTCTAAGCAACTGCACTAATATTCTGGGATCACTTTGAAAAAATATTTCATTTGGATAGTTTATTCTAGTTACTTTAAAGAATACTAACTGCTTATGTATGTGGCCAGTCTTTTTAGCAGTTAAGGATTTTACCTATTAAATATTAAGAATGCTCATCCAAGAGAATTCCAACTCATCCAAGAGAAAAAAAATATGAAGATAAGTGTTTGTTTTATTTCTTGGAAGTCTATAAAATATCTCCATTGCTACATGCTTTTCAGTGACTAACTCAGGGTTCTCAACCTTGGCTCTACTGACATTTTGGGCTGGTTAATTTTTTGTGATGGAAGCTGTCCTACACACTGCAACAGCATCACCACAATGCACCCACCCCCCCTCCCCAGCCCCCATCCCATTGTGACAACCCAAATGTCTCCAGACACTGCCAAATGTCCCCTGGTGGGGGATAAAATTGCCTAGGTTGAGAATCACTGCACTAACCTAATATTAAAAGAAGAGTCATTTTCCTGTATTTTATTCAAGGCTATGGAAACAGGCTTCGAGAAAGAGCATATGTTCCATATTTCTCTTTAGTTCATTCTTGAGGACTTTGGCATTGACAGCTCTATCTATTTGAAATGATTTGATTCACAAATCCTCAATATTTTAGGCCAGTTTTCTCCTCAGAACAACTTTATCTTAGGAGATGCAAATTCACAAACTCTAAGCATCTTTTTTGTACTTACTGTGATCTTCTGCACTGATTCAGCACTGAATTCCATTGCAAGATATTTTTATTTAATAAATTTCAAATAATATATAGATTGGCTAAAGGAACACTGTACAAATCCATAGTACAGTGTTAGCACTAACAGAAGAATTTTTATCTACTTCATTACAATATTTAAAAAATGTATCTAAGTAAAACCTGCTCTAAAGTAAAATGTAATAATAACCTTTATTACATTCTACCTCAGGATTCTGTCCCTGGAAAGAAAATCATCATTGCTTCTGGAATTTACTTCCTGGTATCAAAAGAATATGCTAATTGTTCTATTTCTTGATTTATGTTAGATCTTATCTATTTTCTTACTGTTACTGCATGAGGATTTAGCATTATTTCAACATCCCCTCACCTCCGTCCTCCATATTCTCAATATGAACATACTACAATTTTTACTTAAATTGTCAGTGTTTAATGATGAGCCGAGAGTGTACCCTCACACCCTGTTGACACCCTCATGCTAATGTCCTCTCCTTTATTGTCCATGTGGGTCTATACTCTAAACATGCCTCTTTTTCTTTTTTCATTTAATGGCATTTTGAGAAGGAGAAGAGATAAAAGCATATGGCCATCACACATTTAACAGGAAACTAAAACTATTTTTGAAAACTTATAAAAGATAACATATAAAGTCTCAAAAATTTACTGTTAGAAAATAGAATCTCTATTTCACCCTCACCTCTTGCATTTAGCACAAAGAAAAACTGGGCACTTATTTTTTAAGAAACAAGTGATGTTAAGTAGACTTGTTGTGATCATTTTGCAATATATATAAATATTGAATCATTATGCTGTATACCTGAAACTAATATAATGTTATATGTCAATTATATCTCAATAAAAACATAAATAAAGAAAAAGCAGATTACCAGAAATACTTCAAATTCTTCCCCTTCTGAACACTTGGGACATGGTTATCATTCCTATTTCAGGATAAATCTGTTCTTCTCTCTTCTGACCTTGCGGAATTTTCCTTTATCTATCTGGGCCGTTGAAACCTGGGAAACATCAGGCAGCCTTGCACCATGAAACTATGTGTTCTTGTTCCATAAGAAAGAATTTTGTAATAAATGTCTCCTGTATCAAAAAAAAAGTATAAAATCTGATTGTTACTTTTTCATAAAAATAATTTTTGTACCATCAATTAATAACAACCAAGAAATCAGGACCACCCAGACAACAAAAGCAGAGGACTAAAAAAGATACCCTATTAACATGACACATGAAGAAGATACTAGGTGAGAAGAACCGGGTATATAACAAAGCCCACATTTTGGAAATTGTGGGACTCAGAGTCAAGCAGTTAATTACCAACAAAGACAATAACTGCTTCTTTTGCCTTTCACGGTGAATGCACAATTAGCACTTAATACTAAGACTGGGGAATAAACCATCTATAATCTACTGAAAAAGACCATCTGCTTCTATAAATTTTGTTCTTACACACTTGCCAAAAGAAGAGAACATATTAACAAAATAATGGGCCCTGCACTGTTAATTGCTAGGTTGTTTGCAGTTGTGCTGTTGCTATTAGAATTTAATAAGCCATTCCTTCTGCTAAATTAATAAGCAGCCAAGATTATGTAATAGCTGCTTTCAGCTGCTAATTATTTTTCCCATAATTCCTTTTTCTTCCTCCCCCAACCCCCACCTTTTCTTGGCTAGGAACACCAGAGACTGCCAGTGTCATGAGCAAGTCTCACATCCTCCTTTTCAGAACCACAGACCAACATTAGGAACATAATCAATGAACTTAAACTTAGAGGTAGTTATCTCAAGAACCTTGAGGACATATGTGTTTTGTACAGAAAAAGAGAAAAGCAGCATTTGGAGTCAGAGGGTGAGTTTTCATTGCATAATATTAGATCTATCTTTGATTGGCTAATGGCATTAGTGTTACGTAGTCAGGGAGAAATGGGACATTAACATGTGCCTCTGAGGCATGATTGGTCAGGTTGCAGAGAGAAATTTGGGCAGGGGGACTAAAGATCTACAGTAAACCAGCTCTGTGCTTTGTATTCACCACTTCTTTAATATTACAGTATATGTTAAGCATATATGTACGTAGGAAAATTTCCAAGCAGCACAGTAGTGCTTAAAAGAGGGAAGTATTATACATTTTTATTTTGCCAAAGAAGGGCATTAAAAATGCCCCCAAATCCCTGTTATATACTATCTTAGTTTTAAAGATATTTTAACACACACAAAAAGAACACAATCCCTAGTAAAGGATCCTTTTAAATTGATTAAATTTTAGCTTCATGAAAAAGTTAGCATCTCTTTTTCCCTTTCGGCTGTTAAAAAATTCTGGCGACTATGTTTGGGAACCTCTGCAAAAAGGGCATAGCTTAACAAAAGCAATTTCCTGGCTTCCTTTGTAAGAACCTAGGTGACTAGGGTAATGAATAGCATTCTACATGAGAAACCCGTGACTGTTCAAGCAAGGTCACTTAATCCCTTGGGGCCCCCCTTCCTCATCTGTAAACGATGAGTCGGACTAGATGATTCATCCATCCTTTCATTCAAAAACATATAGACATCCATTATGTGCCAGACACAACGGCTCCTAACAAATCTATCATTTTATACTCATCAGTCAACTCACATTTATTAATGATGTTATACACCAGGCAGTGACCTAGGTTGGGATGCAAAATGAATAAAATTCAATGTGCTAAATAGAGGCTAATAGGCATGTAGGTGAAAGAGGGATTCGTTCTTACAGGGTTTGAGGGTGAGGCTTCATAGAAGATGTGACATTTGAGGGCAAGGGCATGCCAGGCAGAGCAAGTCGTCGGCAAGGCTAAACTGGAACCCAGGCGGCTGTGGGGGAGAAGGGGAGCGACTCCGAGTGAAGGAAGCGGGATCTTGAAGATGAGCTGTTGTCTGAGCTTTTCAGCAGAAAACGGACAGAAACTCCTCAGGTCCGCAGCACTGAGGATGGGCGAGGCAAGCCCAGGGAAGACACTTGCACAGCTTGGGGTGAAAGGTGACTAGGGCTGTAGCAGTGCGATAGGAAGGAGGGACCGGATTCCGGGCAGTTTTGAGGCAAAATAATTGCAAAAGCCCTCTGAACGTGTGCAGGAGCTCCACGAAAGAGCTGACTTGTTTTCCTCAGAGTTGCAGCACTCCCTCTCCCCTCACCAACATCACCGGTAATCACACCGTCCCGTCCCACACTCTTGGGGCACGCAGTTATCGGAGCTCGAACGTGGCTCTTGTCTGTCCAGACCTTCCCTGCCCCGCACAGAAGGGTCGACAAAGGGCACCGAGAAACTATGCCATCTCACCAGTAAATAGCTGAGAGAACCGCGCTCGCGTCCCTAAGGTACGCGCAGGAGTGCGCAGGCGCGCCGGCCCCGGCATAAGCCGCTTCCGGCTCACGTGGCCTGGTTTCCGGTCTCGGACCACCCCTCTAGGTAGAGATGCGGCCAATCAGCTTCCTTGGATTCTGCGGTCACCTGAGCTGCCTCCGGTGCCGTTGGCGACGACCGCGCGGCTTCCAGCGCGCCGCCCAGCCCGCCCCTCTGCTCGCCGCAGCCCCGGCTCCTCCCTCGTCCGGCCCCCAGGGCGGAGTCTGTCGGCTCGCCCTCCCCTCGCCGCCTAAGCCTTCCCTCCGCGAACCGGCTCCCCTCCCCACAGCAACACGGCTTCCCTTCCTCAGCTCAGCGACAGGGGCTTGCCCTCAGCCGCCGCCGCCGCCGGCCAAGCCCCGCCGCGCCCGCGGCCCGCGGCCGCCGTAAGTCCCGGGAGGCGAGTAGGGGTGCCGGGGACGGGGACCAGGGAGGGAGGGTCGCGAGAGCGCTCCGCCGCCCCGCGAGCGCCCGGACGACCCCACCCCGAGCCTGCCCGCCCGGCCCGCCACTGGGGCACGGCGCCCCAAAACTCACTTCTCTCCGCGTCCGTTCCCCTCTCCGCTCGGCGCCGCGCCTTGGGATGCGGAGGCCAGTCTCGGACGCTGCGGCGGCCCCGCGGCACCTGTGGTTCGGGAATCACCTCAAGTTTTGCGGCGTATTTGCGGGAGGGGTTGGCGGCGGGGGGCGGCGGCGGCGGAGCACCCTGGGCGCCCTCTGCGCCGCGATGGTTGCCATTGTCTGCCCCGCTCCTTAACTGTCACCTCGCCCGGGCTGGGTCAGTGATGGAGTGCGGCCCCGTGGGGCAGTGGCGGGGCATCGGAGACGGCTGGACCGAGAAACGCTGGCCCCGAGCCCGCTCCGCGGCCGAGCCCATTGTTTTTAATACCAATCTCGAGGAATTGAGGTGCCCTGTGATTTGTAGCAAAATCGAAGCATTCATTGGTTTTGAACTAGAGGAAAGGAATACTTGTGCCTTGCGATCGCGTATCGTCCCATGTTAATATATAATTTGTTTTAAGGAGAGTGAATTATTTATTCGTCCTACAACGTGGGCGCGGGGGGTGGCACGGATACAGGACCCTGCTACAGACTGCCTTGAGTCCATACTCCTTTCGAAAGCAAACCCCCAGCCCTCCTGGTCACCGAGATCCTGAAATACGAGTCTATTTTTTTCCGAGTTCTGGTAACGGGTTTGCATTGAACGCTATCTAGTTGATGCTTTACTTGCTGTCCCCTTCGAATGCTGCTACCTTAACAGGACTTCTGTGTGAGGCACTTTGATATCATGAATATTATTCGTTTAATTCGTGCCAGTGATGCGTTTTAAGTGAGGTGTAATAGGCCACTTTTAACTTTAATGAAGTTAAATTGTCGCATCGTAAATTTCTAAATATCTTATTGATGCCCGTTTGGATCATTACAAAGGGAGACGGTAATTTCTTAGCGAGATTTAGGGCCCATTGTATTCTAAACTGATCGTGTAAATTCCCCCACCCCAATTCAGTATGGTGTGGTGAATATTAAGAGTCAGGCTGGAATCTTACTTGCAGTAACACTATTAAAGGAACTTAGTTAGAAGAAAAAATATATATATCTGAATTCTACCTTTAAATTACCTTTGGAGGAACAATGCTTATCTGTTTGCAGTTGAGAAGACCGATTGAATTACAAAGAGCTTTCTTTAAATTTGAACATGTAGGCTAATCAACATTTGCAGATTCCAAATAAATATATACAAAATAGTTTGTGTAAAATACACTAGAATTCAACATCCACTCCAGCTGTAGATGCTGTTTTTTATCGCTTTAAATGAAGCGTTTCATGTAATATCTGAATGTGTGTAGCTCTTATTTCAGCTTTTTAAAGGTTTATATTCTCTTTGGTAATAGTAACTCACTTTATTATGTTTATATTTATGTTGGAATTTTTTAAAAGTGAGATGAGAAGGGATACTTAAATCAGGCTTTTATTAAGAAACATGTGCATTTGTGAGTCTTTTTTGGTTAATAGTTTAGATCTTTTGTTTTGCTTGAAATATGTAAGCATAGACTGAAGAGAGCATTCTAAGTGATAGCTGATGGCTGTCTGTCTACAAGCAATTCGGTTCGGAACTAGAACAGCGTGTTCTGTTTAGGGTGAAAAATAGTAGATCTGTTTCTTTGAAATGCACCTAATCTAGTAGATGTTAACAATTCTCTTTTGATGCATATACAGTCCTGTAGCACAGGTGCACAATAGTTTCTTAAATTGCAAGAATTATCTTTCTTTTTCCTCAGAATTTTTACTTAAACTTTTGCCTGTTCCCTGCGCCCCCCCCCCAAACTTAAATGGACCAGGGTCGTGTTGGGAGTTTTACATCTGGTGAGAACATCTTTCTACAAGAATTTCCTGGTATTTTAACTGGCATAGAAATATTGATGGTTTCTCATCATTTGTTAGCTAAATGCCCTGTTCCCTAAGACTTGTCTATGCAACTTGTCATCTTAATCTTAACTTTATTGAATCAAAGTATTGCCTGTAATCTTGGTTCTACTTGTCTTAACAGATGCAGTTTATGTTGCTTTTTAGTCGTCAGGGAAAGCTTCGACTGCAGAAATGGTATGTCCCATTATCAGACAAAGAGAAGAAAAAGATCACAAGAGAACTTGTTCAAACCGTTTTAGCACGGAAACCTAAAATGTGCAGCTTTCTTGAATGGCGAGATCTGAAAATTGTTTACAAAAGGTATAATTTTTATTTATCAGAAAGGTGAAATAGAATCAAATGTTAAATCATTTATAATGTGGAAATTCCAGGCTTTTGAGGATGATATTTGTAAATAATGATTACTATAGATGAAATAAGCTTAAGTAAAGCTTTGTATTTTTAAAATAACTTCTGTTTTGATTGTTCACCCAGGCCGCAACAATAAAATCATGGAATTTTTTAAACGAATTATATAACTAAAGGCATAAATGATAATTCATGCTTAATCACCTTTTTTTTCAATGAATTCATTTCTTTGCAGGGGAAACTAGGATCAGTATTTTAAACTGTGTGAGTAGTTCTCCGAATTTAGATAAGCATTTACCTCCCCCTACATCTCCCCACAAATCTGTAATGACTGATGTTTGAAATGCCTTTTTATCTGACTCGTAGAATCTCTTACTCGCTTATAAACAGCTTGGATACATAGACCATTTCAATCATAGATGTGTAAAAACTGGATATATACAGGATCTGTTCGTTAGTAGTGTTTATTAATTTGAAGTACACTTGTTGCTGTGGCAGAGGTGTGATTAGATCTGGTAGATAGATAATTTTGCCAAGAACAGATTTTTAAAATTTTGATGTTGCAAAATGACTCATAGATTGGCTTTGAACAGTAAGCTTTTTAAAAAATGTTATACATCTTTGTTGATATCTGAAACTTTTTAATACCTTAAAATAAATTTTTTAAGACTGTTCTAATCAGGTTAAAAGAAATAGAATTACTTTGTTTCTTCCTCACTCCTGTTCCCATATGAATAATTTACTGAATTTAAGATAAGAATGTTTCTGCATATAAAAAATTCTCTCCTGTAGGGGGGTTTGCAGGGAAGTAACAGCATGGGCTGCAAGGACAGTCAAAGAGAAGTCTGGGTTTTATCTCAGCTTTCCTTTATTCCACTCCGGTATGGGTGGGGTTTGTGGGGAAGATGGCAGAGAAAGTCATGAAGACTATAGGACATCTAGAATTTTTAAAATACCAGACTCCTCTTTACAATAGAACGAATTTAGTCATCTTTGGGATGATTTTGTATTTGCTGAGAAAAATCACAGCATTTTAGAGCTGGGGGATGTCAAGTGACTTTTTTTTTTAAGCTTTTTACCCCAAGGATAGAGCCTTAAATGAAACCAGTGAAAGTGGAGGTGCTGGTGTGAAGTCAGGACTGCATGTCTACTCACTTGGTTTCCACCCTCTGTCTAGCAGATGATTCCTGAGTTTGAAAACCACTTCTGTTGATCAAACTTCAGTTTTATTAGAAACAAACAAAGGAGAATTGGGGAGTGTCTTGTCCCAGGTCTGATGCTAGTAACTGGCATAGGGGCCAGAACTCAAATCTTAACCCTGGAGGCAAGGATTGAAAAGAAGCAGATTTGCATTTCTTTAAAGATCCTGTAACTGGGAAATGGGTGGAGGGCAGGCTGAGACTGGCTCCTGGGGGATCTGTTAGGGGACTGCATTGCCAGGAGGTCCTGAAGGAAGACCTCTGCTGTGGGCTCAGCAGGTGGAAAGAGCTGTTGTAAAGTAAGTTTTATAAGACTTGGTCACTGCTAAAAGCAGTGAGGGTAGTGAAAGGAGGAGAGGAGTGAGGTGATCCCACATTTCTGGTTCAACTGATGGGGTAAATGGTGAGCTAGTAGAAAGTTGACTTTGAAGAGCCCATGTGACTTCCATTTGCAGATGCCTAATTTCTCAGGGTGGGTATAGGCATGGAAGTCTGGGGGGAAATTAGGCATAAATTGTTAGATCACCAGCGTTCAAGCAGCAGGCAGAGGGGGAGAGGATAAGTATAGGGTCAGTCACATTGGGGAAAGGGAGAGAGTTTAAAAAGTAAGGTCACCAGTGCCAAATATTGCATAAAGTTCAATTAAAGTGAAGAATCTATTAGATTTTACAGTGAGCATTTCACAAAGTACCCTGTTGGAACATTTCAGTAGAGATGGAACTCTCAAAGAAAGGGGGCAAAGTGAGTGGAGACATTAAAACAGCAAGTGTAGACTGTTTGGGGGAGCTTTGCTAAGAAGGACAGAAGAGGTGATGACCACCATAGACAGGAGTGGGAGACAGGGTTAAAAAAACGGCCTGCGAGACCTAAGCTTATTTCTAGATAGGGGAAGGAGTCCCTCGTGTGGAGGAGGAAAATACCAGCAAGGGAATCGATCCCATGAATCAAGATTCCTGCAGCTGAAGGAAATGGCCTGTTAAACAGAAGGAAAGAAAGCGCTAGTTGGTGTTCCTGTTCACAGCATTCAGCCCATTCATGTTGGACAGGCCGCTGCTTTTTCTTTTAAAGGCTATAAAGGGTAATCTAACCTAACTCTGATACTTTCATCAGCTCCTATAAATAAAGGTTCACTAAAAAAAAAAAAAGCTTTATTGAGATAAAATTTGCATACAAAAGTTAGAACTTGTAATCAGTTTTCCTATGCATCCCCCATTTCATACTGAAAACCTCATCTATAGAACTTAAGGACATATTTTTTGTAGATAGGAACCGGTGATTTTTTTTCCTCTAGTCCAGCTGGAAGAGAAGATCTTTTAAGCAAAAGAATTACCACTTAGCTCCTGAGAAATTCTGAACTAGCACTTTTGCTGTTCGTATCAGCAAGTGATCTTTATGTTTGCCTTCCTCAAATTGTCTCATCCACATTTTTCATCCCTGAGCCTTCCACATTACAGTTACCCATCTTGGGGAGGGAGAGGTGACGGGCGGGAGTAAGGATAATACAGCTGGAAAAACAGACTGAAAATCTGGGGACTTGAGTTCTGTTTCTCTGGGCCGTTAGCTAGTTTTGTGACTTTGAACAAATCATTTTGCCTTTGTTTCCTCATCTCTAAAATAAATGCTCTTGAAGAGCCCATGAAGACAGAAAATGCTATGCTTTTTTGATTCCTATTTTGTGCAGCAAGTTATAGATTACAGTCTTAATACATGTAACTACAAATTACTAGCTTTCAGTAGGTCTGAGAGTACTGTATTGATTTTCTTTACTAATAAAGAATGTGTAATGACATATACCATTGGAATATTGAGAGCAGTTTGGTTACACTCACCCACAGTCAGCTGATATTTAGCTGACTGGGGAGAAGTCATGTGTTTTGAATATAAGAATAGGCACTTTCAGATGTTCTCTGAGTGCCAGTAATTAGAGTAAGCCTTAATCTACTCTGCTAAAAATAACCAGACATACCTTTCTTCTTACTGGTCTATTATTAATTTTACTTCAGATTTAGACTTACAAATATGCACTAAGAAAACAAAATGAGCTCATTACTGAATTTTTAAAAACCACTTGGTTCTAAAAATAGAGAGTACACTTCAGGTTCTCCTAGTAATCTTTCACTAAATCAGTATAACAATTCTTATTTCTCTCCCTCTTCAAAGCATGCAAAATATTGCTTTGAATATGTTTTAATTTTTGCCAGGTGCAGGATTACTTTACTGAATACAGTTCCAGGCTATAGTTTTTAATATAAAACTTGGGCTCTGGAGTCAAATCTTTGTTCCTGGGAAGGTTACTCAGTTAAGCCTGAGTCTCCTGTAAATGCAAATAATAACTATCTCTCTGGAAGGGTTTTTATAAGAATTTAAAATGGTAAATTATGCCAAGACCTTAGCTAACATTTAATGCCTTACTCAGGGTGGGGACTCAATGTTACCTGCTTCTGTTTCTTCCTTAAGCTTTCTAGAAAGAGGTGCTTTCTTATAATACTGATAACTTGATGTTCACCTACAATGAAGGTTTCATTTAATTTGATAGTTTTTTCCATTCTAAGTGAAAGCAAACATTTAGATAGTGTTGCAGGGTTTTTAAAATATTACGGTTGGTGCTTAGACACATCAGTACCGATGATATTTAAATTAATGTTTCTGAAAGATTCATACAATCTAGGACCTTTGACTAGCGTTTAAGTGTTGTTCATTTGTAAGTAAAGAGACAGTACTGTAAAGAAGGAGCGAGCTTGGTGCAAGTATTAGATTGCTTAACAGTAGCATTGAAGAAATCTTGAAATTAACAGTAAAAGGAATTTTACCTGACACAGACTATTAGTAAATTCTTTCTAATTAGATTATTTAGCACTCAGTTCATGTCAGCTGGTCATATTTGGTTTTTATTTACCATTTTTTAATGTCAGTCCCTTTAAACTTTAGTTTTCTTAATTCAGATAATTTATGAGTCATTTGTATCAGCTTCCCCAAATTTAAAAGTCTTATTTGAGGAGCATGGGTTAGGGAAGATGGAGAGTTGGAATATCCCATTGCCTTTTAGAGCCATAAACAAAACATAGGGTAGTACTGGGAAAGAGAGGAAGCACTTTGTTAATAAAGTTGGAGATGATGCCCTGTTATGTCCTTCATGATAATAAATGAACACGTTTGAACACCTTCTCTCTAAGACTGAGGGAGACCCACCATTTAAAATAACTTACTGAATGTAGAAGTCAGGTAGAATGGACATGGCAAAAGTTTATGTGTGTGATAAGGAAGTTGGAATGGTAGGGTGGAAAAAGGCCTGGAGTTAAGGTCCGAAGATCAGATTTCTTGTCCCAGTATAACCACTTGGCAGGCTCTGTACTCATGGGCCTTTTTTTTTTTTCCCTCTTCCATAATAATCAAGGATGATGGGTAGTGCTTACTGTTGGAAAGATCAAATAAGATGAAATGTTTTTGATAATGTTGAAATTAATAGAGTTATGAAAATACTAGTTATTCTGATACTGAAGAGCCAGAATTCATTGAATTTCAAAACTGGGATTGTGTCTGTGTTAGCATATTATTTTGCGTTAATGCTGCTAGTGGTAATTGCCCATTGTGTTTTCTGAAAATCACTTAAATGCTCCTCAGTGAAAATTACAATGGCAACTGAGACTTGTTTGCAGTGTTTTAGGTTTTTTGTTTCTTTTCAAAAGCCTTAAATACATTTAAACCTTTTGAAAATACTCTTAATCCTCCTCCAAGGATTTGATTAGGTCATGTCCCTTATTCCTCAAGATTGTATGTTAATAAATTTAGGCTTCCTTGGATCAAGTATAACCGAGTCCCATGTGCTAGAATCCTAATTTGGAGGAGAATATGAGTTTTCCAACTTTATTCCTTCTTCAAGGGAAAATAAACTTTAACAGAGTAGTATTTGGAAAATTTGAGGACTCAAGTCTCAGTTTCCCCTGTCTTTTCTCTAACTTCTGTGATAACTTGGAACTGCTGTTTTTTCTCTTGGGGTTTATTCCACAATCCTGTAAACCTTTTTTTAAAAATAATTCTATGCTGTTAGAAGTCAAGATAGTAGTTACGCTTGGGGTGGGAGGTTGTGACCTGGAGAGGTTAGGGGAGGGGCTTCAGGGGTTCAGTAACAATTCTGTTTCTTGATCCAGGTGTTGGTACACAGGTGGGTTCACTTTGAAAAGTCATTGAGCTGTACATTTGACTTGTGTTCTTCTCTTTGTGTATACTGCACTTCAATAAAACTTTTCAGAACATTAACTTCACGTTTACAGTGTCTTCAATAAGTCCTTCAGGTGGAGAGTTTATTTTCTTTCCTGTTTATTTGTAGTTTGAATTAGTCACACAGTGCATTTTAAGTAAACTTAAGAACAATTTAGGTCAGCTATGCGTTAGAATATTCATCATAGAAAGGAGCCAGAAAGGAAGAAGAACAAAGTAAGTTACTCTTTCTGGATGATGTGGTTACTTTTTATCTTTTTTGCTTGCCTGTACTTTTCAAAATTTCTTTTTTATGCATTTATTACTTCTATAGTCTAGGAGAAAAATAATCTACTGTTGTAAAAAGAGGAAATAAATTGTGTAAGCATGGGGTCTTACACAGTAGGATATGAAAATATATTTAGAAAACATGATTATAGGGTAAACTTTTTTCCACGTTGTTTTTTGTTACAGATATGCCAGTCTGTATTTTTGCTGTGCTATTGAGGATCAGGACAATGAACTAATTACCCTGGAAATAATTCATCGTTATGTGGAATTACTTGACAAGTATTTTGGCAGTGTGAGTAGTATTTTGTTTTAGTAAATTGAATGCTGTAGTATTTTTTTTTAAAACCCTTTCTGTAACAAATTTATTATTTGATTTGATTGTTTTGGGGATTCTGACTATTTGAAAGAAAGGTGGGAGAGGGAAGGAATGACTTTATTTCTTAGTGTGCCTAGTCAGTTAACTGCCAGAATTGCTTGACCCTACAGACCTACTCATTTAATTACGCTGGTGAGAATGAGGTTTAAAGTAGTGAAATAGAAGTAGCCCAACTGCAAAGATAAATATACTCTAAGTGCTTAGTATAGAATTTAGATTTGATTAGCAATTATAATCACATTACCCAGGAATATGTATTTCAAAAGATTAGTTTTTGTGAGTAGAAAATTATTCAGTTGCCCATGTTAGGAGTTTGCAAGGTGTATGGTCTTTTTTAGCTTGTAGGCATTGTGTTTTCAAGTACTTGAGATTTGAAAATTAAGCTGACTAAAACAATGATGGTTAGTTAGCAAGGTTACCATTTTTAGAAGAATTAAGATTGATTCACTCTGGTCAGATTGTACTGACTACTTGATGATCTTTTGCTTTCTTCAGCTTTAATTTTTTTTTTCTTTTCAGGTGTGTGAACTTGATATCATCTTTAATTTTGAGAAGGCTTATTTTATTTTGGATGAGTTTCTTTTGGGAGGGGAAGTTCAGGAAACATCCAAGAAAAATGTCCTTAAAGCAATTGAGCAGGCTGATCTACTGCAGGAGGTAAGCTACTCGTTCTCTTGACTAACATTAGCATGTTTTGCTCTTGCTAGGGAAGTCTCAGTCATCTTCTCTCATTCTTATAGTTTCAGAAATTACTCTGAAGCATGCTTGGCATGTAGTGTCCATGTGCAATTTATTGATTGGAATATGTGTCAGTCACATCAACTCAGTTATCTGTGGATGGATTGTTTACTTTGGAGATGGTCTGTTGTATTGATGGCCCATTTTTGGACCCCAAAACATCAGAGTCCAAACCTTTAGAGGACAGACTACATTAAGATGGGAAAAGTAACAGTAATTTGAGAACTTTCTGTCCATTGTTCCAAATTACTTAAGATAACCTCTTTTCTCATTAGTGTGGATGATCAGGAGTTGACTGTGAGATTATGGCATTTTCATTCCATGTTGGTTCATATTTTCACCTCATGTCCATTACTTGCAGATGTAGCCAAGCAAATCATAGTGTTACAGTTACACTTTGTGTAGAATCCTCTAGTTTTGCATTAGCAAAATTAACTAAAAAGTATTTCTACTTCTTTGCTTTTCTTAAATAACAAACCATGTTCTGTCAAACAACTGTATTCTTGTCTTGCCTTGATATCACAGGAACCATTGATAAACCCCATTCACTTTCTAATTTCTACAGTTATCTTGGGTTAATTGTATATGTGATGCTCTGTAATAACAGGTGTGCCGACTACAAGCTCATATTGTAAAATTGGCTTTAAAGTTATCACCTCCTTATTTTACTGTTTACTAATCAGACTTTTCTAAAAATTAGGTCAAAGCCAGGGTCACAAATTGGAAATTTTTCATATTTGTTCCTTCCCTTGATCATTATATTTCATTATTATGGAACTATATTCTATTCTATCATATTCTGGTATTTCCTCCAAGTCCTTCATCATTTCTTGAAGTTAAACATTTCATAGATAAGGCTACGTTTTCCTAAAAACTTAATGATACCTTAATTCAGGTACCAAGTTGAATTATGCTTTAGTCATAATTGTGGTTTTAAACAAATTGAATGTTTATAGCTTGAGGAGAAGGAGCTAGTCAGTATAAAAATGTAGTCTGTTTTTGTGAGAGTAATTGTCTTTTTTATTATAATTTATTAAAGGAGGCTTTAAATCAGCAATCTTTTTTCCATTATAACTTCTTAACTGTTGGCCTCAGTTGGGAGAGTGGGGAGCTCTTGGTAATCCCTCTGCATCAGTCACTGACTGGGTCAGTTGTGGGGATTGTTGAAGTTGATATGACATTATCTGGAACATATATTTAATATGAAACAATGCATTGTACATTTAATGATCTTGAGTTACCAAAACAGTGGTTAAGGTGCCTGTATAAGTAATGTTTAGGGCATTGATATCTCCTTGTGTCTGGATTGTTTTTTAAACTCTACTGGAAAATCACCATAGACTACAATATGACAAATATGCTAAATTTACATTATAGCATATATTGAGTATTTAATGTACTAGGGGCTAAAAAAGTTATTATAGTTATGTGTTTATTTGTGAATGTGTGTGTATCTCCCCTATTAAAGTATTTTAGTAAGAAGTAATGTCTCCCTTTTTGAAGTAGTATTTTTATATCTTTAATTGGGAAAAGTAGGAATGGAGAGAGAAGCATAGGATGTCCATGGTCTCATGTAAAATTCTCTTTACCCCATCTCACCCTAGTTTTAAAAAAAAAAAAGCTGACTACTGTTAATTACAGTTCCTTGTCTTTGGAAGGGAGCTATTTGGCCCTATTTCTCATCTATGACTACCTTTACATTAACCAAATTGATACTACATTAAAACAATTTCTGTTCAGTAGTCTGAGTGGATCCTTTCTCGTAATTTAGCTATTCAGGTCTTAAGGCAGAAAGTAACTGGTCCATTATGAATTTAGAGTGACGTTAGGCCTTTATGAAGCCAAGCTGAAGTCTACGGGACAGTTAAGCTTCAGCTTATTCTGTTCAGGTTAACAAGTTAACCTGTTTATTCAGATTATTCACCAACATACTGTCACAGGAAATTCAGGATGACAAGATGCTTGTTTCCTAAAATAGAGTCATTTATATGTTGATACATAATACAAGTTTACATCTCTGGGAGAGTATTTGAATATATTATGTTCATGAAATAGATGGTAGAAGAAGATGAGAAAAAGCATTCCACGAATTGCCAAAAAAGATTTGTCTGGACACCATGACAACAAAAAGAACTGTGATGATAGCTAATGCTTATTAAGCGGGTCATGAGAGCCTTTTCAACAAATGAAGTAGAGGCTTGGTGAGGTCTTAGATAGCAGCTGGCAAAACCAGGATTCTAAACCCAGATCCGCTAGACTCTGGAGCTGTATGAAATCTGAACCACTGTGCTCTGTCCACCCTACCCCACATTCATGTATTTTCTTGGTATGCATATTTTAAACATTCTGTTTTAGATACCAACTTCTGTATGTCTCAGAAATACAGTAAAGAAATTCATAATTCTCCTGGACGTTTTTTTGTACTGAACAGAGTAGGTTTCCTAAGACTGATGCCATCTTTTACTTTTTAGGTTGGAAATTTTCATTGTCCAGATTATCAATAGTTGGAATTTTTAATCAGATATATAAATATAAATAATATTTTCAAATTATTTCTTGTTGGATTTATCAAAATGCCTGGATCTATAATAGCTTTTCTGGTCTTACAATTTAGGGTATAACATTCACTTAGTGTACATCGTGGAATGATTTTGCTTCCAAAATTGTAGATATAGCTGTAAAGACACTTCTCTAAATGCAGCCTTAGATTTGTAGAAGTCCTAATTGATTGATTTTAATCGAGTTTTTCATATATTGTGATTATTTTTCTATTTGGTGTCAGGTCTTTTACTTGAATCGATTATTTCCAAACACTAAAGATTACTGAATTTATAATGAAAATGTCTTTTGGCTTAAAGATAAATGCAAATTATAAAATGATTTTGGTTTTAGTCCTTTAATTTGTGAAATATTTATCTCTATCCTTAAGAATGTATATTTTCTTCAGAAAAATTTCTTTAAAATTTCCCTTTTATCCAATTTGTATAAACGTCATGTAGTTTATTTAGGTAGTCCTTCATTTTATAGGCCAACAGGGTAAACAGTCAGTGGATAAAGTAGGTTTTCTGTTAGTATTTTATAGTCAGTAATGAGAACGTAACATAAATGTGTATTTGAGTAAATATTGCTAGAATATCAGATACTGTGATTAATAAAGATAACTTTTTTATTTTACTTAATTACTTGGTAAAGAAGGTTTCAGTTTTGACATTTCTAGACCAAACTCTATGTTTATTCCTTTTGGTATTCTGTTGTATGAATACATAATTAGATTTGGAGGTAAAGCCCAGAAAAATCAGTCCATTATTCCAATTTTTAACATTTGACTGTTGGAATTTAAAACATGTTTTCTTAACATGCCACTGGTACTTAACTTGATGCTTAAATTATTAAAGTGCAACATGCTGAGATTACTAAATTGATTTTTTTTTTTTTTTGCAACACTGGGTACATTTTCCCCACCACCAATTAAATATCTATTTTAAGCTAGATTTTGGCAGGGGAGGGGAGGGCACAGGGGAGTGGTACAGTTGGGTTTATTTTATAAACATAATGACAAAGGAAATATAGAGTACATTTTCTTTGTGAAGTTGGGTACTTAACCAGTTTTTCTCTGCTCCTTAATTTTATAGAGCCAGAATGAAGAATGGGGAGGTTTGTCTGAGGATATCTTATGATAAAGAGCAGTCTAAGGCTTTAGTCCCTTTGATCCCCAACTTATTTATTGGGTAACTACTAAATTTACCATTTTTGTGGCATGGATTAAATGGGATGTTATGCATAGACTGTTGCACGTGAAATGATTTCAAGTCCTTGCTTGATCCATAAAGATCAAATAGTTAAATACTGGGCGTTGGGCTTTAACCCTCAGCAGTAGATGCATGATGGTGTTGATTAGCGCTTTGAGATGTGTCAACCTTTTTTTTTTGTACTAACAGCATCATTTTGAAATTTGTGGGGTTTTCCTTTTGAGCTTTGTTTGCTGTTGGTATTGTTTCTCACTAAAGTAATCTGAGAAATGAAAAATAAGTGAGGTACCAAAAGCAAGCATTACACTCATGAATTTGCTTCTACTTCGAGGTGATCCACTTCATGAACAGATTTATTGGATTTACAGTTGTTAATCTGCCTGTCTAGAAAGTGGTGCTCTACGGAGAATTAGTGCTGCTAAAATTGATTTGTTTTAGTGCTGGGGCTGCATGATATATCTTAGTACTATACAACATCTTTGTGGAAGTATAATTAATAAATCTGTTGAACTACATAAAAATGGAAAGGTAAGAATCTTAGGAGAAAAAGTGATTTCTTTAAAAAATGAATCTTGTAACGTAAAATTATTTGAAGTCCTTATTGAAGTATTTAATAACATTATGCCTTTTAATAAGTTTTGAGTTTTTTTAAATTAAAATCTTGTTAATTAAGAATTTTGGGGCATGCTAGTGAAACTCAAGAATATTTTACATTGTTTTAAAACATGGTTTCAAATATGTACAATAAAATTTAACAGCAAAAAGCATTTTGATAAAAATTCTCTTAGAATTTGCTTTAGTAAGACAAACTCCTGTAATTCCTTTGTAATTACCATTGTTTATATTAAAACCTTAAAGTCTAAACCTTTTTGTTTATATTAAAACCTTTAAGTCTAAACCATTTTCTTATCATTTGGGTTAAAAGTTAACAATGCTATAGTCATTTATGCCAGCATATTTTAATTTTTATAGGTAAGCTTGCTTGGGATCTGCTAGAACAAATTCTGGATAAGTGAGGTTTAGTTACAATAATACTTGAGATGGAAATTATAGAGGGGTAGATATAGATAAAACAGAAGGCCGAATAAATCTTACCTTTTACCTTGCATTTAATAAGAAACAATTTGGCCAAGTCCTTGGTCACTGGTTTTCAGGTTGTAAACATTTTGCTGTATGTTTATGTGTTTTTTGAGCTCTTTGTCTGCTTTTCAGAATTTTGAGGATTTCCCCCTTATGATTTAATTTTAATTCATTTTGAGCCAACTCTTGCTACTTTGGACTATTTGTAATAATGAAAAGTTGAAGTAACTTAAAATATTCAGTGACTGTAAATTGATTTTCAAAAGTATTTGACAAGAAGCCATAGTAATATGTTTTTATATCACAATGGTTAAATAAACAAACCAAATTTTTTTTAAGTAAATACTTTTATTTCTTGTTTTACAATCTCACATTTTCTATTCTCTTCTCCTTTTTTTTCAATGCTGATCCTGATCTACTAAATTAATTACGTGAGCCCTAGGTTTGGGACCTGCACAGGGACTTGCACAGAGTGTATTCCTAGCTGTTAGTGGTGATTTTTTTTTCATTGAAGTAATTTGACATGATTTTTTTCTTTAAAAAATACTTTCTGAAAAATTTCAGCTTTTGAGTTCTTTTTCCCCCTACTGATACATTCTTTTGTATTTTCTTTTATTGTTTCCTATGTTGTCTTTATTTTTTTAAATAAAAATCCCCATTATAGAAAAATTAACAAATGCAGGCAAGCACATTAGAATGTAATCTTACTCACCAACCAGCTACAATTAGATTAACTCTGGTTCTCAGCTGAGGTGGGTGGTGAGGCAGTTGTGCCTTCTCAGGTGCCATTGGGCAGTGTCTGGGCACATTTTTGATTGTTACAACTAACCGTGGGGGGCTGCTGGCATCTAGTAAGTACTGATCAAGGATGCTGCTAAACATCCAGCAGTGCCCAGGACTGCCCTCCCAGAATAAGAAATTATCCAGCCTCAAGTATCAATAGTGCTGAGGTTCGGAAAAGGTTTAATTTAACACTGTGAAATATGTAAAGATTTCATTTATAGGTTCCATTTACATTTATGGACTGCTACATCTTTTCAATATAATACATTGTCCAGATTATAAATGACCAGCTGGAAATGAATCAAAAGTAGGGTGGGGGAAAAAAACCCTAACAACTGTGAACAAGGACACGTGCTCAAGAACACATAAGTGGCTATAAAAATCACCTCTGTGATTCACCCAAATTACTTTTACTCGGTAACCAGAGATAACCCACAGCAAAGCTTATGGGATATCACTATATAATTTAATTTCCTTAACAAAAACCAAATCTGTTAACATCTATTAAGGTAATTGAGTTTTTGCCTGGAAACAGAATTGAGCATACCCTGCAGACAAAACACTTTTGAATTTTCTGCTGATTTCCCTGTCAGCCTTGGGAATTTGATGGTTTCTTAAGAGGAATAGTTTAAGTGACCAGAATTGGTATATATAGACTTTACATTGTACATATAACCTTTTTTGTTTTTCTTTTGTATCCTATTAACCTTAAAGAATTTACTTAATAAAGATATTCAGAGTTTGAATATTTGAAATTCAGTGATTTCCAAGAAATCTTTTATGTTTGGAAAATGCTGATTAAATTTAGGACATTTCAAGTATGATCCAAATGGAAGACCAGGGCAAATACAATTACTCTAAAATATGCCTAAAACTATTTGTTTACAGTCTATTACAGTCTAAAGTTAGAAATGCTAACTTAATTATCTTGCTTTTTTTATTAAAAAAGTAGACTAACTGCCAGAGAAAGTTATTTGTCCTACTTCATCACTAACGGGTTTTAGAGCAGGGTTTTGTAAGATATAGTTAAGTTATCCCAATTATTATTTTTAAGACGAATGTAATAGAAGCAGCTTAATAGCATAATAGAAAAAGATAGCAGTAGATATGAATAAGTAGTTCACAGATGACAGAAAAAAACAAATGGTCCTTTTATTAAGGGAATGTAAATTAATTAAAGTATTAGTTAGACCCTCTTTTTGGTTTGTTTCTTGGATTGGCAAAGAATTGCTGCTTATGGGCACTTAAAATTGTATTCCATTTTGGAGGATTAGTTTGGTGTACACAGTTAAATGTGTACACATTTTGCCCCATTAAGTTATACTTCAAGGAATTATATCCAATAGAAATGTACAGGTGCACCAAGATACATGCTCAGGATAATGTTAAGCTATTGGAACTTACCCAAATGTCCATCAGTGGGAAATAGGTTAAGAAAATTCCAGTATAGCCATACAGGAAACCGTTACCTGGCTATAAAAGAAATGAGGTCAATTTCTGTGTAATGATACGAAAAGATACTCAAGGTATATCAAGTAAGAAAAGGTCTAGGAGCAGGACATTTACTTAATGGTGTTACCTCTGAAGATGTTTGAGGTTTCCCCTACCCCATTTTCTAGAAGTGTAAAACATGTATTTTAAGTATAAATTTTTTAAAATTTATAAATGTTTTAAAATGATAAAATGCTGCTGTGTCAATGGAAGATTCTACATTGTGTTGCTCCTTTAGGTGAAACTAGAGTAGAATTTGCTGAAAAGAAAGTTTCAGCAGGTAAACTGAAGCACTTGTGTGCCCTCAGGCCATTCTAGACACAAAGTTCCTTCAGTTCTTTTCTTTTTATTCATTGCTAAAAATAGATCTTAGTAAGTTTGGATACTCTGTGGCCCTTTGGTCTTTAGCTCAAGGAATAGGGTTCCAGACTTGAGAGGAAGGACTTTGCCACAGTAATTCAGTGAGGCAATAAAGAGGACCATTGTATTAGAACATGAAGGACAAAGGATATTACTTTGTAGTGCAAAGAACAAGTGAAGTCCCTTTACAAGAAAAACTGGAATAGAGCAGTAACTTCAAATTACACTTATATATATTTATTAAATGTACACTTTTTTTCTTTGACCACAATGTGTACTAGAAAGAGAAAATCAGGAGACTAGGTTTTCAATTTTGGATCCAGCACCACTAATGCTATTTAAGCCTTTCCCATCTCAGCAAGACTTAAACCTTCAGGTAATTGCTTGCTTACCAGTTTTTTTGTAGTTTAGCAAATCAGTTTACTTTTGAGTCATCAGCCTAGTAGAGTGAGTGTCTGGGAATTTTTAAGGCAAGGTTTGTCTTTTCCTAGGAATGTAGGTGGTTTAGGAACAGGTGTGACTTAATTCCTCTCTGCTGTGTTTGTTATCCTAACCTTCCCACTACATCTGGTCCTTTTTTTAGGGAATCGAAAAAGATTATTCTTAGTATGGAGGAAAGTTGAACATGCATGTAGACTAAAAGAGAAGGAGCTAGTGCAGAGCACGATGAAAAACAAGAATAGAATAAAGGGGAAAGTACATTGGGAGGGTGAATAGAAATGGAATCAAAAGCATTGGTTTTCTTTCTCTGTATGAGGAGATAACAGATTAATGCTGTAGTGGTTTTTTTTTTTTTCGCCTCATGAGTTGGATGAGCAGAATTGAAAATTGTTTTCTTGGCTTTGAGAATCTACATTAGAGGAGAGCTGCTGTGGGGACTAAGGAGAAAGAAGGGGTAGATAACTTGAAAATATTGAGGGTTTGAAACAGACTGACTTAACTGGGAGCAAATCAGCCCAGGGCTGAAGGCCCATTTCAGATGGAAAATAATATCTAATCTTTATTCAAAAAATAAGTCTTCAAAGAATCTGTACTAAGGGCAGTTTGTGGTTTGTATTCATGTAATACAACCGGATTAAAATTTTTTTCTCACTGTTTTCACTCTGGCCTTTATTCCCACGTAATCACTGACGTTTCAGTGCATTAAACTCAATTTGCTAGGTAAAAGAAGACAGTAGGTCTAGTTCTGCACTGGTCCTTTGTGTGTATTTTAGCAGACTTACTCTCACCCTCCCCAATTTTTAATTACTATAATTATTCCATGA